GAAAGTGTTCTAATACTATGTCTCCATTGGGGGATTTAATGAAGATTTAACCATCTGCCGATATTTAACGTTAAATCTTTCGAGATTATAAAATTTCAATATCGAAAGGCAGTAGATTTAAATTAAATCTTCGTTAAATCTTCAATAATATTGATCAATAAATACAATTTGTTGTTGTGGGGGCAACCACAAATTCACATGCCATACGCCAAATGGCATTTGTATTCTCAATATACAGTTGCGGACATTGAAATCTAGCCGATTAAAAAAAACATTTTCGTATTTTCGTAAATATTTTTAGGCGACTTTTTATATTTTGGTTAGTCTTAAAGGAACATTTTTCGGAGTCGGCGCACGTCTAAATCGGAGGAGAAGCTCGGCCAAACACTAGCATACATACATATGTGTAAGCGCCAACTATTATTACTACATATTATTATTTTACGCGCTGCAACGTAAAATTTACAAAATTCAGTAATGGTTCTGCTGCGATAACATTGCACCAAACTTCCTCTAGCACTCAATTCGACTTAAGAAATATACATATTGGCAGTCATATTTGCTAGCTAGGTCTTCATTATATGCCAAAGCTCCCCGATGCGATTTGCGGTTCTCTCTTATGAAGAAGAGAGTTTATTTCCTCAACAGCCCTTTTTTCCGCAAATGTTGTTCTTTACCATTTTGATAATTTTTCATAAATTCGGGAAATTGATTCGGAGTATGGTAACATTCGTTACATTTTCTATATACTTATGCATACATATTTATCACAAATAAGAAGCCAACAATATTGAGAATTCACAAAATGCAATTCCGCTCCAGGCACCTTCCCTTTTTTATTTGTCTTATATTTCCATGTCCGCAACTGTATTTATAAAATCATGCATAAGCAAACGTAAACTTTTTAAAAATGTTAGCGTCAAACAATCTCGTTGTGGCAATGGAGACGGTTGTGATTTAGCAACTGGATTTATCAAATCTTAATAGGTAAATCTCTCAATGGAGACATAGCATAAATTATATTTACTAAATATCTTACGGAAAAATGCAATAAACGCTTAATTTAAGGATTTTTTATAAAACCATTTTCAACATAAATCTTCACTTGTAGCAACACAGCTCTACAAAGTTTTGAATGTTATGAGTATTGCCTTCAGACCAGGTATGGGCAGCGTTGGCTTATGGAGTTTTTGATGTTTGAGAATTTTCTAACGTGACTACACCAAAGTTTATTTATCATAACATTTTCGAAAATTTTAGCAGTGTTTAATTCACCTAGATAAAAAATTTATTTTTTTTTTTATTAACTTCATCATGTTTGATTTTTATTTTTTTAAAACCTGAATAGTTGTCAAACTTTATGGAGTACGCTGTAAAAATTTGAGAATGGAAACACCAAAACTGTAGAAGTTACGAGTTTTTTTCATACCTGCGTACATAAACTTTAGTATAAACTTATACTTTTACATATACATATGCATACAAACATAGATATCTGAGTTTGCATGAACTATTAAGATGTTAATTTTTTCTTAGCCTTTTATAATACTTCTTCATACATATCTAATGTGTACATATATCCACAAGGATTGTAAATTTGTTATCTACTAACATACTAGTATATGTATGTACATATGTACATGTGTATATAAGTAAATATCCCATTTATGAGTCACCGAAATGGTGGCAAGGTTTATTGCCTTTTCAAACAAAAATCTACAAAATTATCGATATCGCTCTATGAGCAATTGATCAATCTATGAGCATGACAATAAAAATATCAATTTTGAATATTTTGAGATTAAAATTTCTTGTGAAGAAAAAATTAATAACATAAAAATTAAATAAGGAAAATCAATTTAAAAATAATAGCAGATATCAGGAAGCGTGCATTTCATTGAAATTCGTTTGGTTTCCAATACGGAAAGAGATCTAAGGAAGGTATTCGCAAAAAGTGGCATGTATCAATAGAATTGTAAGAGAATGGTGCGAAATTGTTTTAAAGTGTATATTATCGCTTGCCGCGTAATACCTCGTATCTGCCAAATGCGATAATTGCGTTCCCTAACTCGAAAGACTGGCTTCTCTGGCTTCTTTTGCTTTTTGACAGTTTTACAGATTTTATCCAGAAAAGCTGGGGAACGCAACTAATACCACGTATAAGGTAGTCCGAAAAGAGCAAAAACCCTTACAAACTTTTGAAAGAATTTCTAACTGAACTTACCAAACATGAGCTTCTACTGCAATTAAATTGATAGAGTAGGCAACCATTGAGACGTGGTAACCAATACGCGGTATTGCGAGACAAGCTATAGCATACATATTTAGCCTCATTGCGAGAGTCGTGTCGAATGCAAGTCGTTTTTCGCGAGTCGAATCGTATCGAAAATTGCATGCCATTGCCTAAAATTACAACTCGACTAGTGTATTAAAATGGAAAAACTTGGCAGCACTGCATAGTTTTCGACGATTTTCGTCGTTTACTTATTTCAGTACGACAGTTGGCCAATGCCAATATTGTCGAGTCGTACAATTTAGCCTAACTTATGACTTACGCAATGAGGCTGATTGTGTACATATGTACATATGGTCAGTTTTTCTAAAATATGAAACAATTGCCCATTAAATAACAGAAAACCACCTGAGTTTTGTAGTTAAAATGATTAGGCATGGTCAAATCTAAGTTTATGTAAAAGAAAGGTTTGAATAATTCCTTTGGTTTCAAAGTTATTGGCATTCGAAAGTTCAATAATGTGTCTTTGAGAAAGTTTGAAATGGGTGAAAGAATATTGCTAGTTTTTTAGTTTGTCATCTACAATGAATGCAGGAGGACATCTGCATACTCAGTTGTACAATTTTTGCTCATATAATTAAAAGCGTAGACCGTGGCAGCTGACACGTCAGTTGATACGAACGGACGGCAGGTACGGTTGCGCTGTAAATCAATCGATAGACCGTTTTTGGTCCCACTTGACAATAGGGTAGTTCAGGATATTTTACATAAGCTCTTGCATTTGCATATTCGACGTATTTCACAACAATAAAATGCACACGGTTGCCATGGTAGCAAGCATAAAATTTGCAAATGCAATTCCAACTGCAAACCCAAGACCATTTCCACAACATCCTGAACAGCCCTAAAGTGTTTTCACTCATTTGACGACAAATACCATTAAATTTGACATATTGAAAACCAGCCTTTAGAAAATATGTGGAGTTTATTCTGCTGAGTGGCATTGAATGCGCCCTACCATTCCGGTCGCCCCTCGCAGGCAATGCAAACCTCCGAGTATATATCTGCCGAGTGTATTTCGGCCCTGAATTTGTTGGATTTTATATCGAGCTTAAAGTCATTTATTGCCAATACAATTTTACATAACTAAGCGCACGATCAATGATACCCCTTAATGCATTCCACTCCCATTTGGGGTTGCCACAACTGCCAGCCCTCACCAGTATTTACTCAGGTTTTTTGTCTTGAGTACTTTTTATGTAGATATATATGAATAACTGCAAGTAATATTGCGGCTTCGTTCAGTAACAAACCATAACATATACTTCTATGTTTATACATATGCGTGTATATAAGTATAAGTATGTACATTAGTGTACGCCTTATTTGTATGTAAACAATTTTTTTTTTTTAAGCTATAAAGCAGGACTCCCTCGCATAACGGAAAGACATGTCTCAAGAGACGCTAATTCATTAAATTTCACATAGAATAAGAAAATGTACCTATGTACATGGGCGAATCCGAGAAATAGTCAACCAAAATCGCAAAAAATGCATGCATTTCGAATTCTCTCATTTTTCTGTCAAAAAAAGCATAGTACAACATATTATATTATTTCATATTTCTTTTCACATTTATTTGAGACATCTGGTTTGCCCCTCCTACTACTTGAAACAAAGCTCTAAATAGCATTGGCTTTAATCACTATATCTTTTAATAAAATACAATAAGATCGCTTTAAATAAAGCAATTTTCTCAACGGAAAAAAGAGTAACGTCCGTAACGTAACGTCCCGAACGCACATATACGATTGTTTTAAAGTTAATCCAACCTTTGCAAACTTTTTATCACATTTTGTAAACTTCATTATTTTCTCTTCAAAGTATTTTTGTAGATTGTGCTCTCCATGCATTACAATTTGCGCAAATCGGTTGACTATCGAAAGTCATATCAAAATCGCCTGCCTTTTCAGTAAGGTCCGAAAATAAATTTCGAAGGCAAATACACCGATATTAACTTAAATTCAAATTTCCATCATTTTGATCGCATAAGTACTGCTATAAACCTTCAAACTTCTTACTTATAATATTTTTGTCGGCAAAAATGTGAATTGAACGAAAAATTACACTGAAGATGGCACAACGCCGAAACCGGTTTGTCTCCAAACCAAATTTGGCAAGGGATGACGGAAAATCGTTCCACATTACATCACACTCCTACCCTGTCGGAAATACCAACAACAAAAATGAGGTTAAAAGAAACGTCCGAACGTAACCTCCGCAACGCTAGGATTTGCCCATATATGTTTCAGTAAAAAGAGCTTACTTGTTTCATATCAGCCAATGGATTTTAATTTCTCGTCATGCTTGGAAGTTATAAACCTTTTATGGGGTAACTTTGGGGCTCCTGAGGTACGTCTCTCCATAATCCGATTTTGAGCAGAGCACGTTTCTATGACCAAATGAACCTATCGAACGGGAGTCTTGCTTTCTAAATCAAATTTGAAAAATAAGCCGCACCCTAATATACGTATGTATGTATATGAATATCGGCCGCTGAAGTTGAGAGTGAGTGAGACCTGGGTGCGCTTATCACACACAGCGTTTCTTGTTGCGCCTGTGTTCTATGAAATCTTATCGCCAATGCGCGCGTACTGAGATAAGAACTTCATAAAAAGCTGACGAAGCGATGTAGCAATTTTTATAAATTTTAATGCCAGAAGTGCTATTTGCGGCAAGCTGTACGTACAAATATCTATTTTTACATGTGTAATTAAATTGAATACTTAAATGCAACAGAAACTAATGTTGCGATATAAGAAAAGTGTGAAACTCTTAGAAGCAATTTCGCATAATGAAAAGCTCAATAAATCACTGGCGTTTGTGTTGCGTTTAAATAAATAAATAAATAAGTGTACTTTTTATATCTACAACAATAATGAATCGTTTATATGTAGTTACTAATTTTACGTAAATACATACTTACATACATACATACATACACATACAGCACTTGCTACAAATCCATACACGCGTTGTCACGGTGAAAGATAAACAAATCAGTAATTGCACTTATGATGAAACTAACCAAAATGCAATTTAAATCAAACATGTGTATATAAAACATATCATCTCGTAGAATAATGCAAAAAATTAAAAAAATAAAATTGGCTTTAAAAAATAAGTAGAAAATGGTTCTGGGTAATTCTAGTGTTTTTGCATTTCATGTCATGAAAAAGTAGTTTATATGTGCGTGATTTTCTGGAGTGTTTAAATAAATAAAACGACACTCCCTGCCGGAAATTTATTACAAACTAACAAATGCCGAATAAATCAAAAAGTCATAGTTATTCGTACACGAATATCACAGAAATCTACATATATCTTCAATGGTTCACTCGTAATCGAAAGCATATTCCGGTGTGTCTGCTTGCATTTCCATGCGTCATACCTTTGCTTTGTCGACTAAATATATGAGCCCTGTAAATTCCTGAATATTGTACCTATATGGCGCGAAACGGCTTGGTACGCCAAACCTTTTTTGAATGAAGGTAGAAGAGAAGTAGTGGTTTTTTTCCAAGTCCCAATTCTGTTAGTTAAAAAAAGCGTTCCTACTTAAAAAAAATCGTCGAAAATGGTATAAGAGCGGTAGTTAAAGGATCACTTTATTGCACTATTAGTGAGATGTTGCAAGGGACAATGGATCAGCCGAAGACGGAAACCACCACTATTTACAAATAGTAGCAGAAGACAGCAGTTGAAGCTTACATCTCCCAGGAGAACTTTCATACCATATTAAATTAGGCTGGTGGTTATGGCGACCACCGAAGCTGAGTGGTACGTGAGGTGCGTACTTCTTCTCCGTACTACTCAGATTCCGTTTCTGCTGTGAGCAACATCAAAAACGATTTTTTGTTTAACGGTCGCCCTCGGTAGGCCTCGGAGATCTCTTCCTGGCTGTTAAGCGGAACTTCTGATATGTTTCCTCATCATCATCCTCTAAGCTTCTGTGACATGGGGATGCTGTTTGGTATTAGGTCTCAACGCGTGAACATCCACCGGACAGCGTCCTGTCAATACCAGAATTAAGAATGGCGACTTTGTGAACCCAAGAAAATCCGATAGCTGGTCGCGGTTTACATTCGGTTGGCGTGGCATTGCAGTTGCACATGTTCTGCTTTTCGACCAGGATACCCGATTCATGGTCCAAGAGCGATCGCGAAACTAATTCGAGCTTGCCTTCCCCCAGTATCACTATGGCCTGATATCCATATAAGCCTGACTGGAAAGTATGTAATCAGCTGCCACTGAATGCGAGTGCAGGTATTCCCCTGCTGGGCTTGAGCGCCTTACCTACGATGTTGACGGGCTCTATGCTAAGCTAACTTCTTTGACAGAGTGGGATTGAGCCCAAGAGTAAAGCTGTACCCGCTTTAGCTTTCTAAACAGCGTTGTGGAGAACACAAAAAAACATTACGGGCTACTTTGCCAATTATCCTCCTGCTGCGGTAGAAAGTCACTGATGTCTTGTTCACTTTCTACTCAATATTAGGTTTCACGACAGCTTCCCATATAGAATCCATACCAAGTATTTGATCCTGTCAGTAAGATGAGTTCCGTCTTTCGAGGATTAACAGCGATTCCACCTCTTGCAGACCACTTTGTCACCAGGTCAAAGTAGATACGCTTTGCTCAACTCATAGAGAGTATCCACAAATTTACTCAGAGAGAGAGAGAGACCACCACCCTTTGGGTGGCCCCTCTTTCTCCCACTCTGAGGGCACTACCCCACTCCGCCGCGATAGTTATGTCGCAGAGCATACCATATGTACATATGCCTAATTTTTTTTTCACCCCACGCTTACCTCGGGATCTGCGTTTCGCTCCAAGAAAAAAACAGTTTAGTTTATTTAATTAAAATTCATAAGCATATAAACTACTTTCGCCTAAACAAAGTTATTGGATTACATTCACATAAATAACCTACAAATTCATGAACTTCATTGTATAATACTCAACCCGGGAAAGGTGGCTTTGATAATAACAAATGTACCTCTATCAATGAAATCGGAGCAGTTTTTTTTTTCTAAATCGTATCTAAAATTTCTTCCACAAACAGATTTGATTCAGTAGTACGTTCCACAAGAAGCAACCAGCAGAGATCGAATATCTCCTCGACATATCGCTATGCCGCTATTTACGAAAAAGGGTCCGAAATTCGGTAGAACAGATTCTGAACTTGCCGCTAACTCTTCTTCCACCGCCGCTGGCACCAACACGTACAACGACCACAACAACACATCGGCTAACGGCAAAACCAACACAATGAATGGTACCAACGCGAATTCCCGCATAGACCCATACATTCCCAAGCCTCAACTGATATTTCACTGTCAACTGGCGCACGGCAGCCCCACGGGCTTGATAACCGGCTTTGCGAGCGTACGAGAACTCTACAAGAAAATCGCCGAGTGTTATGATATACCCGTGGAAGAGATACTTTTCTGCACCCTGAATTCACACAAAGTAGATATGACAAAATTGCTGGGCGGCCAAATCGGCCTGGACGATTTTATATTCGCTCATCGAAAGGGGCGACCGAAGGAGATTGAGATTATCAAATCGGAAGATGCGCTCGGCCTTACAATAACGGATAATGGCGCCGGCTATGCATTCATCAAACGCATCAAAGAAGGTTCGGTAATTGACCGCATCGAACACATCGGCGTCGGCGATCACATCGAGAAATTGAATGAGGTAACCATGGTGGGAAAACGACATTACGAGGTGGCGCGACTGCTGAAGGATATACCCACGGGCACAACATTTACGTTGCGTTTGGTGGAACCGATGAAGAGTGGATTTCAAGGTATTGGACCGCGCACACAGTCGAGAGCGCCATCTGGTCGTGGCTACGGCAGCGGCAAGGAAACATTGCGGTTTAAGGCGAACGGCAATGTGGAGATCGAGGACAAGTTTGACGAATCTACGCAATCGGGCATTGAGGCGATCAATAATTTGCTGGAATCGTTTATGGGCATAAATGACACAGAGTTGGCGACGCAAATATGGGATCTGGGCGCAAACAAATCCAATTCAATGGACTTTGCGGAGGCTATCGATAATTCCGATTTGGAGTCGTTCGGCTTCACCGATGATTTCATTATCGAACTGTGGGGTGCTATAACGGATGCTAGACGTCGAAAGACGGCAAAGAATTAAAAATGAATTGTCCAAAAGTAGTAAGAGAGGGAATGGGGTGGATGAAAAGTGAATCAATAGGATCAAATTTAATAAATATGAAAGAACTAGATATGGAAAATTATTTGCGAAATAGTGTTGTTTGTTAATATGAAAATTAAGGTATTGTTTTCACTACTTAGGAAAATGTGGGTGGCATATCAATGTATTTATTTAAAAAAAAAACTATACTAAATGCGCATTTTGTTAGTTATACATACATACGTAGTAAATGTACTCCTATCGATATTGTTTAATGTTAATTATATTAAAAATATAATGACATTCGTGAATTCAAGAAAATCAAATTTGTACGTAAATAAGTTGTTTCTGCCAATTTATATACATATACATATACTGCATGCATATAAATATAAATATACAATATTTATTCGTTTATTCGTTTAATTATACCAGATAATTAAAATGTTTTAGAATTTAAAAGCGTATATTTACAGCTAGAAGTGAAGAGGAAGCAATGTTTAAACGGAACATGTAAAAATACAAATAAAACCCCAAATGCAATACATATTTACACTCAAACCTCTACTTATTCATTATTTTTTTCGAAAATTGTATTATTATGGTAAGTTTTCGTTTCTGCTTTTGTTTTGTGTTTTTTTTTTCTTTTAAAATGCCCAATTCTATATGCAGCTTTCGTTATTTCTTTTTTTCTTTTCGTTTCTTTCAAAAAATGCCCTTCCCCGGCGCAAAATGTGTTTGATATTACTTGTCTTGTGTCTTGTAGTTGTCTAGCTCAGGGGCTCCCAAACTTTTAAGATGATGAAACCCTTACCAAATACTTTTCATTTTATAGGACCCCACATCAAATAATTAAAAATCGAAGGCAGTTTAATTTAAATATGAATAAAAACTTTTACTAGAAATAGTATAAATATTTTAAATATTAATATGAAGAATGAATCAGCTTCACTGTCATTAATTATTGTTTTATCAGGGTTTCCAAGCTTTATTTTAACGATCATGCTTATTTTGCTTATTTCAATGTATAAAAATCTATTACGGACCTTTTCAAGGAAACGGGAAAGAAATAAACTGCTACTATTTCGTGTGTGTGAATTGTAGCGTCCAAGGAGTTTTGACATCTGATATTTTACAGCCTGCTGTCGCAGTTTTTCAATCCGAAATAATGGCAATTTCTGTTGAAAACAAGGGTGCGTTGTACTCTTCACAAGCAAATTTAAGCAAGCCATAGTAGATTAATAAATTTTTGCTTGACAATTTCTTAGAGTTTTTTTTTAGAAATGTTTACAAATAATAAGATAAAAACAGATTTGATTTTTTTTAATTCGTAACTTCAATTGCATTTCTGCTTGGATACAAAAATTTAAAACCAATGGTTTGTCTCTACGGGAAAGCATTGGTGTTATTGAAGAGATTAAAAACAATTTGTCTCAAATGGAGATTAACGAATATTTAAAAAATTAAAGTGGAAGTTCTAAGTAGCTACGAATTACCGTTGATTTTTGGCAATTTTTTTCCCCCGCAGTCCCTTCCATACAAAAAAGTTTTTCGAAAATACTTTATGCTTGAAATACAATACCGGCGAACGGCAAACTTCGCCGAATTGGGCGATGCTGTCGTTCACCGTTCGCCCAGCTATTTCGCCTACTTAAACAGAATTAGAGCGGTAGCGAAAACAGCTGATCCCATTTGGTCGCCTTTATAATTTGGGTGACCATATTTAGAAAAAACTAAACCATATTTAGAAATGAGGAAATGATAACAAATATAAATGTAAAACAAAGAAAGATTATTATAAATAATGGGTTTCAAGCCAGATTTAACGAATCCACAACTATATTTTTCAAACAACAAAAAAAAATCGTGTTCAGGTTGTTTTCTTTTAAAACTTTGAAAGCAAAAAACAAATACGGCCACCTTTAGCACGCACAGCTGTCATCGCCCAGGGAGGCGATAGAAATAAATCTATCGCCATGAAACGCCGCCAAGCGAACTTCGCATTTCGCTTTGGCTGTGTTCAATTTCATATGCTTGCGGGTGTTCTAATTTTGACAGCGCGAATTTCGCTGTGGTGAGTTCGCCGTTCGCCGGCATTGTATTTCAGCTATTATATGGAAAAAATACCTTCAACAAAAAAATTCTCAAAAATCTATGCGATATTTGACTCACTCAGAACTCGCATATTTTATACTAGAATTAAATGGGTTTCTAAAAAATCTGATTAACAAGTTGAAATTTTGCATGAAAATTTGCTGAATTTTCGCGAGTTTTGCACAAAGTTTAGAAATTATATTTTAATGTTTTTGTTGTGGAACGAACTATATTTTTATGAAAAATTGTCGGAAAAATATTGAAATAAAAATTTTTGCATATATTGTAAAAAAGCGGCTGTGCCAATACTGTTTGCCGGCCGTGTAGGTTCGGCATTCATTCCAACTACGAGTATGTTCATATTTGAAAATAGATAATTGCGTCGCAGGTCATGCTATTTATAGAACTTTTCTTTGTGAGCAACTCAAACCGACTGCCGACCGCCGTGCTTATTCAGACCAAAATTCATTTAACGGAACCCCGGTGACTTTTCTACGGAACCCTTAGCTTCCGCGGAACCCACTTTACGAAGCTCTGGTCTAGCTCACGTATCCATCGGGTTTTCAGGGCAACCTGACAAAGCTTGAAAAGGCAGAGAATGTGCCTTTCTTGCCTGACAAGAGTGTGACATTTTATGAAACAAACACAAAATTTTCTCATCGTTTGCCTTTATTATAGAATCGAACACGAAAAGAGAAAGGGGCAATCAAAAGGCAACGAAAACACCATTAGTTTCTTTTTAATTTTTAACTACATAGTATTTGGCGCGATTCATAATTGCCTCGCTTTTTTGGTGCCTGGCCAAATGTCCCGCGAAATTTCCTTACGTAGGCGTTGGCATGGCCGGGCATTTCCTCGCCAAGTTCAGTTCATTGATGCGCTTTTGCGAAAAGCTTGCAAGTAAGAAGTTATGTACGAGTACATACAATATTTTCGCGTGACTAATTTGTGTTAAATTTATGCGATGAATGGCGCAAATATGAAACTTAGCTTCTCGGACTTGTTTTTGTTTCTTGTATTTTTTCCTCGTCAGACAAATTTGCAGTGTAGTCGAAATGGTGCGAAACGTCATGGCGGTTTCCATCGGATTTTTCACTAGACAAGATTGCACACAATATCTCTACGTAGATATGTATGTACGTTCATATGTAGTATGCATACATCTGTATTCACAAGGTTACCCACTAGACTTTCGACAACTAAAAAATATTGTTGTGATCTAGATTTTTCTGAAATTCCACCAGAATGTCGCTTAGAAACAGCTCAGGAACTATTATGGTATGTATGTATGTATGTATGTATGCATATGTCCTGTAAATTAAGGTGTTTAATTTTCCAAAGAAAAAGAATTGTATTTTAAGCTCTTCAAGTAAAATCAGAAGGAATATTTTTCATTATTTCTGTTGCTTGTAAAAGTACTTGTAAATTTTCTTGAAAAATTAAATGTAGGAGCATTTTTTCTCCCTAAGCGCTACATACTGAATAAGGAAATTTTGATAGAAGGAAATTTCTTTTCCATTTCTTATGTGTCATTTTACATGAATTTTTCGTTTTTCTTGAGAGCTGCACCAAGCGAATAGAAAACTCTGCTTTTTTACGACTTCCACCAACTTTTTTGACTCCACACAGGGAGTGGTGCCAAGTTGAAAATATTATGTATGTAAGTATTTCTAAATGTGGAGTGCAATGGGGTATAGTCGTTGTGCTGCTGCGCATACAGTTACAGTTGCACGGCTATACTCAATCACGTCTCTTTGCGTCCTCGTTCGCGCACTCTGGGCAACATGAGCAATCCATGTGCGAAATGCGGTAACCAATCCGAGTGGAGCCTTGGGTCACGACAGAAAGACAGGGAGCTGCGGTGGGGCCACTCCGATTTATTCGGTTTAAGGGCTCACTGAAGTCTGGGCGTGCAATTGCTGGCTTATGCCGATGACATCCATATCATCGGTAACAAAAACCGCAAAGTCTGTTCTGCCTTTTCCCAAGTTGGATAAGGAAGCAAAGCGAATTGGTCTGGTGGTAAACGAGGACAAGAGGAAGTATCTCCTGTCATCAAACAAACAGTCAGCACATTCGCGCTTTGATACCCACGTCACGACAGTTATAATTTCGAGAAAGTAGAGAATTTCGTTTACTTGGGAACCAACATTAACACCGATAATAAGGTCAGCATGGAAATCCAACGCAGAATCACTCTTGCCAACAAGTGCTACTTTGGACTGAGTAGGCAATTCAGGAGTAAAGTCCTCTCTCGACGTACGAAAACCACACTCTATAAGTCACTCATCATGCCCGTGCTGGTATATGGCGCAGAAGCATGGACAATGACAACATCCGATTAGGCGGCTCTTGGAGTAATCGAGAGAAAGATTTTGCGGAAGATTTACGGGCCTTTACGCGTTGGCGACGGCGAGTACCGCAGACGATGGAACGATGAGCTGTATGAGCTTTACAACGCCATGGACATAGTGCAGCGAATTAATATACAGCGACTCCGCTGGCTTGGTCATGTCGTTCGAATAGACACCGACGCTCCAGCTCTGAAAGTATTCAACTCGGAACCCGCTGGTGGAAGCAGAGGAAGAGGAAGGCCCCCACTCAGATGGAAAGACCAGATGCAGAAGGACTAGGCTTCGCTTGGCATTTCCAATTGGCGCCAGTTAGCATAGAAAAGAAACGACTGGCGTGCTTTGTTGAACTCGGCCAAAATCGCTAAGGCGGTTACAGCGCCAAATAAGAAGAAGAAGAAGAAGAAGATTTCTAAATGTGTTGCAACAACAAGGAAAATACAAATCTATCGGCATAAGTTTAATGCTTCTTTTAAAAATTCAACATATTTTTACTATTTTATATCGGTTAAACTCGTTGCCTTTTAACTATAGAAAAAATATGAGCAGGCTTTAATGATTAAAGTCCAATTTCAATGAGAACGGCATCCCGGTTAAAGTCAACTTTAAATAACTTTATCTTCAAAGGACGTTGTAAAAATAAATTTCTGAAAGTGTGCTCTTAAAATTTCAACTATCAAAACTTTACATATTTCTAACTTAAACAATATTTTCATTTCATTTGGAAAATCTGTTTCGATCTCTTTAAACTGAAATATGAATAAGTTAAGAATTCCAGTTTGTTAACTAATAACAGGCATTCATCACATGCATACAAAGATGAATTCCCCCAACCGGCTCAATTAGTACTTTTCCAATTTCATAATAGCTTCTAAGGCCAAAGTGGCTCAGTAATAGGTTTAGTCACATCTGTTTTAACTTGGAATACAAACAAAATTATGGTATTTCCAAATTTTTTAAGAACAGAAACACATCCAATCCATACATATGTATGTATGTACGGGTTGTTCTACAAATGAGAGATAAACTAAGAGCCAACATAATCTAGGGATGTCGGAAAAACATCGAAATTTTTCCATTCGATGTATAAATAGTCCAATTTGACATC